TTAGAATATTTATCTGTTTGCAAACCAAATTTATTGTCAGATTTTTGATTTTTTAAGACGAAAAAAGGATGGAGAAGTGAAGATGAGACATCATCTGAATTAAAGTCTTCGATGAGAAATACAGGAAACATTGGTTAAAACGGTGAACACAACAAAATAAGGACTTTAACGAAAAAAAAGAAAACCCGAATTTTAAGTATATTTTTAGCTCAGTATCATTCTCTCAGATATCTGAGTTGTTCAGTAATGGTGGGAAAAGAAGAGAAAGGTAGGGGTATAATTGGTTGTCAACTAATTAACCTAACTGACTAACCAGGTTTTTCTATTGGTTAATAATCACTGGACTGGCTGGCACATCTATACTTTCGTATGTAACAATCATTTTTTGCTAGTTGAAGACTTCAATTTATTGGCAAAAATAAGATTTTAGTCTTGACAAAATGAAAATAAATGAATTATGTATTTGTTGAGTTGGAAATGATATGAACGAATTAAAATTTTATAACCTTAATCTTGAGAATAAGACGGCAAAAGGAAAAAGTGGCATTCTGATGCTTTCTGTTTTTCTCAAATACCGCAGTGACAACCTAAAATATTGAGCTTTTTTTTTTTCGCTTTTCCAACTACGGCCAACCATAGCTGGCAGTCACGAATTTGACAGGACATTTTCAGCAAGAATACTCGTTATTTTTGGTGTATTTGTTACCAGGACAAAAAATTATTTTTATTCGCTATCAGCAGAAGAAAAAGGAGAAAAAGAATTTAGGTGTTGTTCTTATTCGTCTGCATTACTTCGGAGACGGGCTGCTATTTTAAATGGCAGTGTTATTGAAGATGAAGGAAAGGGGAGAGGACGAGGGGACGGCGGGAAGGGAGGAGGGTGCAAATGAAAATTTCTTTTGATAACAATTTTGTTTATTGAGAAAATTTTGCGAATAAAATAGGTTTAAAAAGACTAATTAAAAAAAAAAAGAAAAAATTTTATAGAAAGATTTTTTGCATATATGAATTGTCTTCATTTTTAAGAACACACATATTTTTCCTTCTTCTTTTTTTTTTTTTTTTTTTTCTTGATAATTACTTCTGTTTGCTTCAAAAATTTGGTTTTTTTTTTTTGTGAGTTTAGTTTGCCTTAACACTGACCATTAATTTCTATATGGCTCTTCTTTATCCTATTTTTTGGCGCTTTTATTAGTGTAGTTTTTTAGTATTCAAATGAAATCTATGTTTATTTTTCTTATTTCATTTTCTTTCCCTGTTTCATATTTTATCGTAGCTACTGAAAATCACTGGAAAAGCCAGATTATTTTTTCGACGACAGTCTAATAAGGAACTTGCAAAAAAAAACCAATAATAGTTACCGGTAAACAGAGAAAGTGTTGTTGTTCTTTACGATTTGGTGATGGTAATGGCAGCAGCAGCAGTTGTGAGATGTTATCCTCATAAGGAAGTCGGTAATTTTTTTGGTAAGAAGCTGAAGAGAATAAGACTGGCTTAATCTTTTATAGAAATTGTTGGTTGTTTGAAAGCAATTTAGGTGTGATATTAAAGCTAAATCGATTCGAAAACCTAAAAACTTTCCGTTTTGGCGATTTATGAAAAGTTGCGTCCTGTTCAATGGGTTGTTTTGGTTACTGCTGCCGCTGCTGCTGATATAATTGCCCATTGAAAAATCATATATTATTTTTACCGATTATTATTATTATTATTATTATTATTATTATTATTATTATCAATGATATTATAATAACAGTAATACCAATAACTAATACCCTATTATTATTATTATTGTTCCTATTATTATCATTATACTGTTGTTATTGTTATTGTTGTTATTATTGATATTATTATTACTATTACTATTATCATTGTTATTATCGCTTTGGGTTTTATGAGTTAATTTGCAGCAAAAGAGTACTTTGTATTTTTTTTTTTTTGTCTTTTCTTTATTTTGGCTTTTTCACTAACGCTTATTTTTGGTAACTCAACTGCAGATTGAAAAGTGGATTAGCTAAGTTTAATGAGTGCTTTTAAAGAAGTCGTTGGGTTTTCAAATAGTTGCCCAAATCTTTGCTGTTTTTATTTTTGAAAGATTTGCACCTCAAAATTTTTTTTTTTTTGGTTAGTTAGTGCTTTAAATATTAAAGTTTTTCAAAATGCTTAACGCGTTTTTTGTTCATTTGGCTACCTAAAGTTTTCACAAATATTTGAATATTTTAAATCGACGGCTACTTTGTTGCCAGTTTAGTTGCAGTCAGTAACTCATCAAATAAGTGTAATTAATTAAAACTATTCTGCGATATTTACGAAAAATATTTGGCAAAAAAGAAAAAGAAGTTGAACGTTTTATTGTCTTAAAGTTTTGGTCAACGTTAACAGCTATTAGGCAATAAAACGAGATTTTTTAGTAGCCAAAATGCATACGAATAAAAGTTTTTTAATCTTACCTTGCTTAGTCTTTCACTAGTTTGACTACTTTGCCTACCAGTGAGCAAAAAAATTTTTGAGTGATGAAGGTCTAGTAATTAGAAATGTTTTTAAAATGAAATGTTTCCTTTTTTTTGGTCAAACTTTTTTGTCTATTTTATTTTTTGTGCAATTCGTTGTAAAAACCATTAGTAGATGTTTTTTTTTTTTTTGCAATAAAAAAAAAGAAATTGCAGCAAAAATAATACTTTTATGGTCGTAAAAGTTAACATAAAAGGTGATTTTGGGAATTGTTGATGAGTCAAAAATAATTTGATTTTTGTTGCCAACAAAAATGAAGGTATTTTTCATGCATAAAATCAGCAAAAAAGTTTTTTTTTTTTTGACTTACAAACTGCATTCGATTTAAATGTGTCTATAAGGTGGAAAAAAAGAGCATTTTTTTTCTTAAAAGAATAAACGTAGTACGAAGATGTCTAAGAAAAAAGAAGTAGTACTTTTTATGGTTGTCAAATTTTGGTGGTCTTTGATGATGTTAACATTTTTAGGCTATTTTTCCTTTTTTTCCTTTTTTTTTGCTTTTGCAAATTTATGCAAAACTAATTTTGGAACTTTTTTCAGGAACGAATAAATCTCAAGATGGTTATCATCATCAGCATGAACGTCTGATTCCGTTATCCAAACCGCAACAATCTTTACCGCCAACGTCAAATAATCTGCATTTAGCCAGCAGTATGGCACCAAAACCGTATGATGAAGAATTGATCATTGAACCACCAGGTGACGATGGAGTTGTCTATGGCAATTCGAATTCAACGTAAGTTACAGGCTTAAAAATTTTGTGGGTTATGCTTTTAGGAAATTTGCATGTTTTTTCCAAGGCTTTTTTTACTCTGTTTATCAATTAGCTGTTCTTTGCAACTTCCTAAACCTCCCTCTTTCCAAAAAAAAAAAAGATACAATAAGCAAGAAAAAAAGAATAATTTAACGCAACACCAAATAATAATTTAGTACTTCAAATAAACAAAAAAAAAAAAAAA